TGTGTGGGCCCCCAGCCTACACATCTAGCTATTTTCTTGCCCAGTTGACTACACATTCTTTTTTTTTTTTTTCTAAAAACAACCTAATCTGCCCTTACCATATTAATTATTTGAATTAAATTGCACTCACTAGCCAGAAGCAGAGCCAAGATACACACTGTTCTGGTTCAGATAATAGGTAAACAGTGCTGCGCTGTATGTTATAAAAAGATGACCATAACTCAGTCTGCAGTACCGAAGTGCTGCATATACCAGATGTGCTGCTGACAATCTATTACTACACCTTGTAATAACTACCACAACTCGGAACAAGCATCTCCAAATGTTTATCCTAGAAACTTCTTTGAATGCTATGGATCCCTGTGGAGTGGGAAAAGAAAAAAGCTTTCCTCCCCAGACTGAAGGTCAGCAGAGTCACTATGCAGATTGTGATTCAGTTATAAAAGCGAGTGCAATTTCCAAAACCCATGTAATATGGTTTTCGTCTTGCAACACCCAGACATCCAGAAGTCTGTAGGTGACTTCTAATTGATTCACAATTGATGATAAAGCAAACACACCTTGCTGTAGAGAAAACTGTATTTATGACATTCCTGAAGAGGCCTGAACCTCCACTAGAAAACATGCAGGAGCCTAACAACAAAAACAAGGTTGAAAAGCACTGTGGTAGAGCAGGGGAGCTATGAGACTATGCATCCGGTCTCTCCCTTTCCCCCTAACTCCCTGCAGCCTCTGAAGCATCCCTGCTGAGTAGCACTCCATGTTGCAGACAGCTAACCAAGCTCTGCAAGTCACGGACTTCCCTGGTACAGCACAACTGCACCACCTCCACTGTGAGAGAGATTTCTGCATTTACAAGACTTCACTTTTAACGTACGAGTATACATATGTTCTTAATGAAGCGAAAGATCTCCAAAATCACTTAGAGAACTGATCTTTCTCTATGATTAATTGACCTTAATATAAACGTGCTCTTACACAGTAAAAAAAAAAAAAATTAAATTAAACAAGTGGGAGAGACACTCACCATCTTGGATTCTGATTCTGCTTTTCAGTAGTGTTTTGCTTTATTTTAAACCCAGCTCCTTTTCTGGGCTCATTCCTTGAAGGAGCTGGTGTGAACATAAATGCAAGCTTAAACATTTTGTTTACATTTCTTCCGCATAAGCAATACTTTTTCCACTCCAACTCCAGAAGTAGCCTCAGAAAAAAAGAAAAACTGTTCTCACCTTGCAACATGGAAGTTTCTGTAACATGCTGTCAGTCATCATCAGAAATGTAATTTTAATAGTGAAATTATAACTTTTTCAGATTTTCTCCACATCTTTTAAAGAAAATAGTGCTTTTATTGTCTGGTAGCAAGAACAGGCTTTCATGTGTTTAAAAAAAAAAAAAAAAAGACAGCAATGATTATGTAAAGACTGGCATGCTGTTGCATGGGCAACCAGGCTCTACGCAAGTTTCTTCCATGCCACTTTGGCAATAAACTATGCTCCTGAAATACAACCCACTCAACTAATTCCATCCGGGCTTCTGACTCCTCACAGATTCTCTAATGCACCTCAGTCTTGATCTGTAACACCCAAGTAACCTGAACCAGAATCCTCTCTGCACCGGGCATTGTAATCATTTGCTAAGGTGCTATTTTCTGAGCAGCTATGACCACAGAACAATCTGAACTATTACAACACATCACAGTGTATCGTATCACAATGTGACACCTGCCTCTTCCTCTGAGGTCGATTTCAGAACAGAAGGGAAAAGAAAACTCAAGGTATGCGGGAAGATTTAAACCCTGAAAGTTTCTTTATACACTTAGACAAGCCAAAAGGATTTTAAAAATACAAATGAACCAGCTCCATATTTCATAACATTTTGACACTGTTCTGCAAGGAGAAATGCAGCCAGTGAAACAGTTTGATCAGTTAAAAAGCACAATAGATGTAAAAGGTGGGGTTGCTTTTTTTTTTCCTGACATTCACATCCAGGTGTATCAAAAACCTAATTCATATCAGTTTTCTCTTGGACAGAAACTACCTGCATGTGACTCCTCATTCTGCAAAGCAATAAAAAATAATCCTTCCAGCTAGTGACCAAGCATGGTGCCTCTAAAGGAGAAAATTTCCATCCTCAGCCTCTTCAAGAAACAATCTCTATAGAGTTTTAAACACATTTCAACAAATCCTGCACTTGTAGAACCTGATTTTCAGAAGCGCTGAACATGTTCGTATCCCATCCCATCGACATCCCTGGCTTCTTTGTGTAAGCAGCACTTCCAGGAGCACTTCTTAGTTTACCTGCTAGGTACTCTATGACCGCTGCCATGTAAACTGGTGCTCCAACACCTATACGGTACTTGTATGTTCCTTTCTTTAAGTAGCGCATCATTCTCCCCACAGGGAAAATAACGCCTGCCCTGCTTGAGCGTGAGAGTTTGGACATTTTCTTCTTCCCGCTTCGGCCTGACATCTTGTAGCTTTGTGCTTTTCAATTTGCTGGTGATTCTTAACCCCTTGCTCCAATCCAAAAGCTGCAAGAGAAAAGAAACATGACTGGCGTTCAGCATGTGAGAAACATCCTTATACATTAAACTTGTTCTTCCAGAAGAAAAAATCCAAACCCATCCTCTGTACCTGTTAAAGCTGAGGCATTATTCATTAAAAGTTGGGTAACTGAAACATTTCTACAACTTTTCTTTTAACTACTGTACTGTCAGTGCAGCAATATCACAGAAAAAGTGGTTTGGAGAACATAAAATTAAAAAAAATACTAAGAAATCCCATGCATATTAAATGAACCTAAAAAAACCCCAAACAAAAAAGCCAAAACAAATCACACCAAGGCAGACATCCACAGCACAGAAGGTTTCCCTGCTGATTGTTAAGTTTAGCACGTTATAAACATCTGAGAAGCACTGGCATAATGGACAGCATTAAACAAGCTGAAAAGCAGATATTGGTGCTACCTATAAGTAGAGGAAGCCATACTGGTCACACAGGAGAAGATAAACCTACCTACAAACCCACTGCTTCTTCACAGGTCTTTTATATGGGGAATGTCATGTGCATGGCTGAAAAGGAGAAGCAGGCAAGCAGCTATGCTTCAAGCACCTCCCTCTGCGCTGCTCGGGCCTCAGGAACTGAGCCCCCGGGGCCCAGCTCACAGGGCTTCACCGCTTTCATGATTCTTCCCAGATCACCTTCACAGCAGCCTCTTGGAGCCCCAGAAGCCTTCCTCCACAGAGCTCAGGGGCGGTCTTTAATCTCTGATCTTAAAAGGACTGGCTACCAGGTTTTTCTGTCCATCAAGCTCCCTGACGATGTGTTTTTTCCCTGCATTAAGAGCCAATCTAGTCTATACATAGGAACAAAGAAAACAAATCTCATTTTCTCCTTGTTTTTCTGGCAACGCTGAGATTGCAGGTAAATGGACGACCAACCCTGGTGTGAGCCACTCCACTTCAAAGCGTGCACATGGTCGTAGTTACAACCCTAGTTCTCACTCTCAGTCAAATAATGGGGAAGTTTTAACTCTTTTTAAAAATTGTTTTTAACTCCATTTTGATAGCTGCCCTCATGGCCTAATTACGATCCTGGTTACTCCTCTGAAGTAAACGAAGAGCATGTCTGCCACAGATGGTATTTCTGTCAGTGAAGGTACAGCTACTTAATTCCCTCAATGAAACAAGAAAACAAAAGAAGGGACCTAATTTGAAAAAACTTGATGACTTTAGGTGACACTGTTAAATTTTGATCTGTGAAATGTGCTTATCTGATTCGTGTTTGTCTTTGTTCCCCTGAGTTTTCCTTCCCCGACAAGGATGTTTTAGCCATTTGATGATCAAAATTGGTAAATAGATAACATCTTGCCTAAGGCCGAGGAGACAAAGCTCCAGATATCAAGGAAACACATCTACACGCCCAGGACACATCTACAGGATTGCTCCTTACAAGAGGAATTTGCATCAGAAAAGGGGCCCTGGCTTGTGCTCAGGGAGGAAGATTCAACTAATGCAAGGAAGATTAAGAGCGATCATCGGAGGTGTAAATGAATCCCGGGAACTTATCACCAATCACCAGAGGTGTGGGTGAATCCCGGGAACTTATCACCGTGGGACTGCCCTTCTCAGGAGGTCTGATTAATGTGTGTGATTTTTGTGTATATGAACCGATGTGTCTTGCTAGCCCGTTGGAAAAGAACACGCCTATTATGAATATGTAATTAATGCTAGACTATAAAAGAAGTTGCTTTGTTTTTCATGGTGTGCATCCTGGTAAAGCAGAGACTCCCGGCGCACCCAGCGCTGTTTGCTTATCTCTATTCACTTAATAAATTGGAAACTTTGTTTAAAAACCTGGTTTGGGACAAAATTAATTATCACAGATTACAATCTGCATTTTAAATAGCCTTCCAAGAAGAAGAAAAAAAAAAAAAAAAGGTCGTTCGACACCACTGCAAGCCCTTGGGAACAATCAACATTCATCTGAGGAGGGCACAGAAATCTGTGATTCATTCTTATCCTGCTTATTACAAATCAAGTGCATATACAAAGAGGGTCACCTGCCTCATGCAAAGCCAGACATTCACAGAAAGCAGCTCATGCGTAACAGCCAAAGTCAAGGGTTGGGTTCTACAATAATCTGACTTGAACACTGATTTCACTTATGATATCAAGGCAATAAAATCATCACAGGATCTGCAGGGATCTATAAAACCCTGGCAGGCCCTTGTCTAACAGCCAGGTACTTTTTTTCTTTCTGCGCGCAATGTATTATGGGGGCATGATAAAAAAAGTTGGGAAAGATTAAACCAGTAAACCTATCAGACACGGATACCTCAAAATAGATGTTGTTCATCATCCCACTTCGAGTTCCCTGCAAACTGCCAGCCTGGAATCACAAATGGTGGTAAAGGAGCTCATAAACTGCTGCTTGCAAGTGTGGAATAAAGGCCATGGCCACTTCAAACACGAGTGGAAAAAATTCCCAATCAATCCATTAATTGCATTGATGCAGGAGTAAGCAGTTGTGCAGGACAGGGAACAATTGCTAGGAAGCAGCTCCGCTGATTAGGACCAGCAGGTTACAGGGCGGGGGGGAAGAAGAAGAGCTGTTGTAAAAAGGCAAACCTTGCAGCAAGATGTATAAGCAAGAGGACAGCCAGCGCTGAGCTGAGGAGCAATGTCCAACTGCAGATACCGTGCTTCAGGCACGCAGAGCAATGAGAATCCAGAGGAGGCTGACAAGAACAATTGGACATCTGACACAAAACTAAAAGGAAAGGTGTAGAGAGAGCACGAAGTTAATCACCAAGTCCAAGTCACATACACCATGTAGCTGCATGCCTGGAAGCATGAAATTCAGCATTGGGCGAAGTGGCAAGCACTGGGCAGGGGGCAGCCACCACTAGATCGATACCTGGTGTTATGTGGATGCCTGGAGGAGTGTGAGCCAGGGTGGAAGCCCCGAGGTCCCAGTCCCCCATTCTCTTTGCCCTAAACAAAAGGAGCCACTACCTCCACCCATGAACTGACTTTGTGGCATTAACATAAACGATTGTCTATAGTCATCCCCACCCACACATATACCCTGGTGACATAATGTAAAAATTTGAATATAAGTATCACCCCAATTTCGGCCCAAAAATCGGGACAGGATCAACTCGGAACCATACCGGCGACCAGACAGATTGACAAATTCGCTCCTTCTCTATCCCCCCTACTTGGGACGCCATGTGGGTAATACTATTTACCTCAGCTCATGCTGAGAGATACTCTTCCTCCCTGGGTGTATTTCACATTTTCTCCTCAGGTGCATTTCTATGCTTCCCTGAGTGTATCCTTGATTCTAGTTTGTCGCCACTTTACTGTCTCTTGTTCCACTGTATCTCTGTTGGACGGGCTTGTCTATTTGCCAAGCGGCCGGGCCTACAGTGGGCAAGTTGTTATTGTTGTTAGCGTGTACATGTGCATATGGTGTGTGGTGGTGTTGTTATATTAGTGATAAACCTTGTGTTATACCTGTAGCTTCTAATTTATCACCGGCAACCCAAAAGAACCTGTAAATGTTGCTGTAAATAAACGATTACTATTTGTCTCCCGATTTGTGTCTGTTGCATATTCGCCACCAGCCGCACAAGACCGGATTGACTTCCCCGTTTTCACAACAAAAGGCAAAAAAGAAGCAGGGAGACATAATCATGGTCTTTCGAGACATACAAAGCTGTTACAAAGCTGCTTTGAAGGTGGAGGGACTAAGTGTTCCCTATAGAAGTGACAGGAGAAGAAGAGGACTCTTACAAAAGCTGTGTAGCAGGGAGGAGAGCAGAGCACTGGACGCGGTCAGACAGGGAGGTGGCAAAATCTTCCTGCCAGGACAACTTTAAAACAGTTAGAGAATATATGTCAGAAATGGCACAGGCAGCATTTGATCTGCCTTGGGACAGGAGGCTGGACAAGGTGATCCCTCGAGGTCCATTCATCCAGCCCTGTTGTTCAAAGAAACTTGCGATTTGTGACAAACACTTTATAAACTTTCAATTTCTTATTATGCTACTTAATAACCTTTACAAAGTGTCCTTTTCAGTTTGCGATAACTGACATTCAGATTTATGAATAAACATAGGCTGAGAATTAGGTTTCTCACCATCAGAAGAGGGAACTTGTGGAACAACCTTCTCTTATGAGTAATATGAGCAGCAATAACTCATGTAAAGGTGTAACTTAATAAATACATGCACTAGGCTACAATCTGATTCCTGCAATACTGGCAGGACAGTTTCACCATCTGAGAGTTCAGTCCTGTGCCAAAATTCCTACAGAAAGCCATGCTGAAAGAGTACACTACAAACAACCATGTATCAAATTCACACTAACTTAATCTCCCATATAGTTGCTCCTATAGTTCCAAATCCCAATTGTGTGTAAATCAATGGGAAAAAAAAAAAAGCGAACATCATGAGATTATATCCACAGAAAATACTGTGGTTGCACTTGATCTCTGTAATAGAAAATCAAAACATATTTGTACAACTAAGCACACTGCTCTGGGGCATATTGTTGCTTTATATAAATTTCTGTTTAATTAATCACTCCTGGCTCATTCTTCTGTTGCCTCACTGAACTTTCCACCCCTGTCTACCCCCTTTATTTTTCCCTTCTCTCACAGGAAGTCTCAGCCATTTCTTCCCCTGCTGCTAAGGCAACCTTTGGAATCCCAAAATATTTTTCCAAATATTTTGCAGGTAACAGATCAGGTATGTCTGTGGAATTTTGTGAGAGCCTAACTACAAAAAGGGTTTTAAAACTCTGCTAACATTGTCTCTCTCTCCCCTGTGCAACTTCTGTGGACCAGGGTGTACTGGGGAGTGAGATACACAACAGCATGTTCTTGTCTTGTCTCCAATGGGAGGCGACTCTCGGTAGGAAAAGCAAGATATGGCATAGTCACATCTACTAGAAAACAACTCCTGTGGACCTAGAGGAAGAAATGTGGTATGCTGGGGTTGCCAGCTATCTACACTAGGCACCTTGGA